GTCAGAAGGTGTTTGGTGTTGAGAAGTAGGCCTATGCAGGTTTCAAAATACTTAATGGCAATTTATTTATTAAATTTTTAAAGCGCTATATTTGCATACTGCTGTTAAATAGCGCCGTCTTGCGTAGAATCAAAGAATGGCATGGGAATAAAACAAGGCGAGAAGTAAACATGGCGCAAGTTTCTTATGCAACTTATTAAAAGTGCTGCTAAAATAAAATATCCACCATGGCCATCTGTGGACAAAAGGAGATGTCCTTGCTTTAGGTCTTAATTTTTTATAGTTATTTAGATGAATGTCAGAATGACAGCAGGTTTTATTTGACGTACTAACAGTAAATCTACATCAATATTCTCCCATATCTGGCTGTACATCTGGATTCTATGGGGCCAGTTGCATTGCCACTGTGTTAAGACAGTCTTAAGAACTAATTTGACCAACTAACAGTTAACTTGGGGAAATCAGTTTTACTTTTTGCATTAATAATAAACCAATCTGACTTTAAAAAGTTATGACCAGCATTGAAAAAAAAAATAGATGACTAACTTGCCATTTAAATAGATGCTTTTCTAAGCAGTTTATGCATCGGGCTAAAGTCCTAACTTCACTAAATTTCACATTTGTGAAAGAATAAAAATTAGGCAAGAATAGAATTTTAAAAAAAATCACACAACTGATTATTTGTTCTCATATAACTCTTAACATTTTTTAATAAGATGGGGATCCTGAAAATAGTATCTTTTGATGTTGAGAGAGTAGAATGAGCAACAGCAACATGACCAAGATTTGTGTTTTACCATATATGGACAAAAATCACTTAGAACCACTCCATTTTTTAAAGTAATAAATAAAGTAATAAATAATTTATCAGTCCATTAATTCACATCACTTCTGTGCCCTTGGCGGTACTAAGAGTGTCCCCTTTTAAACAAGGGGGGAAACAAACCTGCATGAAGGATGTGCCAGGTTTATTTGTTTTGGTTCTTAAATATTAATAAATACTCACAGAGCAAAGTTACTGGACCTGGGAGGAGTGTTGAGCAGAGACGTGCAGGGGGAAAAACAGAAAGTGCTTTCCTTTTTTTTTAAATATTAATGCTAATGGAATTTCCCCACAGCAGAGCACTTTTGGAGTAAAACAACTTTGTGGCAGAATTTTTTTTACATAAAGTGTGAACATATAGAGGAAGTTGGGATAAGATGAACCAACAAACTAAACTAACTAAAGTGTAATGTGTGTAAAAGTGCTTTGTCAGTTTTCTCCAAATCATCCAAACTCGTGACATGATTGGAACTTATGTGTGGACAGGGAAGAAACCCTTTTTTTTTTTATATATATATAATATCCACATTCACCACATGCAACCCTTCACCGCATATAAAAAGATTGCCCACATGAAAATGCTGTCACGTGGTTTATTTTGTGTTTAGCAACCTAGAAACAAAGAATCTTCTTACCTTGTAGCTCATTTTACCCTAAAGTCTTCCTTATGTTTTTGAGAGAGAAAAATGTGGTCATTTGAATGAGAGGAAAAAGAGGCAGGGAGAAAAATATAGTTATTTGTGAAACTTTCAATGTTTGAACAATTTTTTGATCCATTAAATAAATCACATCAAAAGGCAGTAATTTCTGGTTAAAGTAAACATTTTTCTTTTCTTTAATTTTTTTATAAAGATTCATCTATCATTTCTTAATGTACTGTAATATTACACCACTACTAGGCAGAGCCTGTGTGATTGTACAATCATTTGAGAAAGTGATCTTCATTCTAAATAGCTATTAATCTGCATTTAACTGTATTTTGATCACGTTTATGCATGCCATGCGTGTCACAGAAGTGCGCACTGAAGTCAATTACTAAAACAAGACATAATACAAGTAAGAATATCAATGACGGTGAGATGAGACACGTTTATCCAGATCACAGCACCCACTCCTTTGAACTGACTGAATATATCAACTTTCACAACTGCATACGTAAGAGCTAATGTACAGTTAGAGGGTCATTACCGCAATGTTATTCGCTGTATTTTGCGTAACGTAACCTATAGGCCTACATTATCTGTCAGGATATCCAAAATGTAGACGAGTTCGTTTCTTCATTGGAACAGATTTGGAGAAATTTTGCATTAGATCACTTGCTCACTAATGGATCCTCTGCAGTGAATGGGTGCCGTCAGAATGAGAGTCCAAACAGCTGATAAAAACATTGCAATAATCTACAATTAATCCACACAGCTCCAGTCCATCAATTAATGTTTGTAATAAACGAATCCATCATCACAATAATTGTGAATTATTGTGATGTTTTTATCAGCCGTTTGGACTCTGACGGCACCCATTCACTGCAGAGGATCCATTGGTGAGCAAATGATGTAAAGCTACATTTCTCCAAATCTGTTCCGACGAAGAAACAAAGTACATTTCCATCTTGGATGGCCTGAGGGTGAGTACACTTTAAGCAGATTTTCAATTTCAGGTGAACTATTTCTTCAATTTTCTTCCGCCAAGCCACAAAATAGTGAGTGAATGCACAAAGGCAGAGGAGTTCCAGAGGAAAAGACGGATGAGTGAACAATGAGAGAAATAAACGCACTTGTGTTACAGGCTTTAAAGTGCCTTGTTCAGAGTGGCCTAAAAATACTGTCCATTTTCTTCAGCACAAAAGTTCTAGACATGGTTAACTGGGAGTAATACAGGAACTGCTATTCTTAGGTTATGCGCCACATTCTGCGTCATTACTACTGTTGTTGTCTTAAAATGGACCAAGTTAAAGGTTAGTGGATTTGAACCAGTGGAGAATCCATATAAGAAGTAGATAACATGTCCAACGAAGACAAGATTGATAAAAATGCAATGTAACCAGGTAGTGGATTTGTTCATTTATTTCTTTATATTGGAGCCCAGCATTATGTAAATCCGCTACAGCTTGGTCAACAAGGCCAAAGACACACAGTAAAGGCAGTTTGCTGTTTTTCAAACCCGTAATGACAGTCACATCTTGATGCTTTCGTTCTAAACCTAGAACTGGGAACCAAATAGGTTAATTCATGTAAGTGGTAATGATATCCAAGTGTGGGGTTCATCTCCTCTTGTTCTCTTACATTTTGTTTAGGTGAATTTTTTGACGTCTTTGATCAAGGAATGCATGTTTTCAACTATGCTGCCACTCTGCTGTAACATTTTGTATATCCTCTACAAGCTATAAAAATCTAGGTAAATTAAAAAAAAGGAATCTCTGTAAAAAATGAGGAGAGAAAAGAAAGGAAAAATTAAGAGAAAACCATCCTATAGGTCAGCTCCATCGTCATTTGCATTGAAATGTGCGAGGGGGTGTACAGTATTTCCTTCTCATCACATCCCCAGGCTGTCTTACAGATTGTCCGAGCTTTAAAGACCTTTGGAAGCTCTACTGGAATCATATTCAATGTTGCCTGGCCATATATTGTTATTCAGCTCCTGTAAAACACTACAGAGCCTTGCACACCTGCTAGTGGAAAAAGTGTACTGAATATTGTTTATTCCTATAGAGCGAATGCATATTATTCTATTAGACCTTGAATGTGGTCAGTGTAATATAAAGAAAATGTGTAATGTGGAAACATTTATCAGTTGAATTGGAGCTACATTTTTTAGTCTGAAAAATATCCATTTGACAATAACATTTAATCTTTTTTGCTTGTTTTTAGGTATTTTTTTAATATCTGGCTAAATTTTGATATACCAGTCTTCCAAAGGCCCTTCCACAGCTTCTGTGAGCTGGACAATTCAACAACAATTTTATGAGCCTTTATTTAATGGATTAGAATACCAGCTTAGTACTTACTTCATACTGTGCAGTATATACTGTTTACAGTACTACTTCTTCCATTGAATTTGCAATATTCTACAAATGTGTAGTTGTTGTCACATGATCTTATAACACTGAATGTTTAATCCCTTAATATTTAGCATTTTGAGGGGATTTCACCTCTAAATTATTCATTTTCTATATAAATAATACAATTATTAATCATATTTCTATAAAATAGAAATCTAATATATCATTTAAAAATAATCTAAATAAAATAAAAATAAATAAATTAAATCTAATATAATATTTCATATTATTTTCAAATAAAGTGTTTAATAGCATTTTAACCCAATGATGATTAGTAGATTATATCCCCTCTAAAAAGCTCTGTATGTTCATATTTTTGGCATTTCCCATTCATTTCCTTTGGCGAAGATCATGAGTGTGATTTTTCATTTAACCTTTTATCTAATCATGTCCACATTTATTTTTTCATATAGTAAGTGCCACAAAAGTTACCAAGTTTTGTACCATTCTGAAATTCAAACATTTCAAAACATATTTTTTTTCTTTTGGTCTGAAATGACGAAGGACCACAAGGTTCATTAAATTTTGGGCGAAAATTGTCTTGTTTTAATGTCAAAATGTTTTATGCTAAAAACTACTGCTAAAAATAATGCTGAAAAAGAAAAGTCGAACGCATTGCATTGTGGGATACGGTATTCAATGTAGTGTTCTCTAACAAATGTCGTAGGGCATTTTAATGCATACAGAAAATGTGCATACTGTACACTGTATACAAATATATACTGCAGTAAGAGTAAGTAGCATGCTGGTATGCTATTCAGAACATAGCCTATATCTGTAATCACTGCCTGTCCCTCGTATTTTTCCTTCCTTCTCAGTCCTCTTTGTTTCCATGGGTTTAGCTCCATTGAATTCTCTGTTTCCAAACTATATCTCTCTATATAAATCCATTCCAACCCCTGCAGTCTGAATCCAGTCCATACTATACAAGGGCTTTACAAAAAAGCTAACTTTAAACAGCCATACAATGGCTAAACATAAACCATATCTCTACCATGATGTGTTAATTCGTTACATTTTATTCCAGTGTGTTGGAGTTGTCATTCTTGTTAACGTTTTAGTACTAAAAGTATATTTAGCAGTGTTAGTTGATGACAGAGGTGTGTAGGAGTGTGTGTGTAGGTTTAGAGTATGGTTTTGAGTGTGTGAGAGCGTGCTAGCCGCTATCGGAGGACGTGTGTGGTGCGGTAGAGGGTGATCTCCGCCGGTGCACGGATGACGCCCAGGAGCGTTCGGAGGTCTGCGAGGAGGGTCGCGTGAGAGTGAACCCGCGCTGGGTCAGCCCGTCCAGCAGGTGGTGCTGTTGCTGCTGTATGGCTTGTGAGAGCAGGCCAGGCAGAGCCTGCAGACTGCTGTTTATGGAGTCCAGTTTTGCCTCTAGGTGACCGATCCGCTTTTCTAGCTCCTCACTGCGCTCCTGCAGCTCTGAGACAAGGTCGTACATCACATTCTGTGTCTGAAGAAGTGATAGGCACAATTAGTACACAAAAAAATGCACAAATCCTGTGTTGTCCACTGGCATGAAAGTAAGCCTATTTTCTGACTACAAAAAATCAAACATTAAGATTTTCACATAAAATATTGAAAAACATATAACATTTAAAATATAATATTACAAAAAAAAAGACACAAATTACATATTTACACAAATATGTTGTCAAATAACCAATTAAAATGAAATTCCCATTGTTTGTATTGGTCCGGACACAGTTTTTGTGGAAACTGTTCATGGAAAAAATTCATTTCAGGGTTCTTTGATGAAAATAAAGTTAAAAAAGGGTTTATTTGAAATAGAAATATTGTTGTAACAATATAAATGTCTTTCATTTTACATTTGATCAGTTTAATGCATCCACGCTAATTAAAAGTATTAATTTCTTTAAAAAAAAATCTTACTGTCCCCAATCTGTCCTCACTTTGGTGAACATAATATATAGCTTACAATCATAGTCTACTAAAATATACACAATTTAAAACGTAAACCAAATCTAAAATCCATAAAATAAACACACAGTCCTTACTGTACATGACCATATTACAAAACAACCAGCATGTACTACAAATGTACTAAGGCTTACAAGCAAAAAGAAACACTGTACACACCTTTGCTAAGTCCACCAGTGTGTTTGCTTGATCATTCAGCTTTCTTTGCTCCATCTTCACACTTCGCAGTCTGGGGGGAAAAAAAGAAGCCAGGGAGCAGGTGGACAGGTGGACAGGCAAAGAGAAAGAGATGGGCCACAAGGAAAGAAGACACACAGATATACAAGGGAGACAGGAGTTTATAGTGGAAGGAGGGCAAAAGCAAGTACAAGAGGTTGTGATGGGGTGTCAATGAAAAGAGCAGGGAAATTGGCAGGGAGAAGAGGAAGAAACAGAGTTTGGTAATTAGGCTGAAATCTAGGAGGTAAAAAGTGTCACATTATGAATGTTCTTCCATTAAATGATGTGCCCACATGCAAACATTTACATTCCAGTTTGGTCCAGTCAGACATGCAAACTTATTCAGCCACAGGAAGTAAAATAAAAAAAAGAAGGGGTTGAAAAGAACAACAATTGAGACATTGTCCTAAAACTCCATAAGCATATGGATATGGTTTTTATAATACTACCTCAAAGTCAAGAAACTGTGCTGCAGAATTTTTTAGATGGTGATCTGATGCATATAGAAACGCTCAACAAAATGTAATGGACAGCAATGAAATGCAGTTAGTTAGACATTATGAAGTAATAAAAGCATACTGTTAAAAATTTTTTTACTTTATACATTTTTTAATACACATACATTTATATTTACATGTATATACATTATATATAATAAAAAATTTATTAAATTATTCAATTCATATATATATATATATATATATGTAGGGTGATATCAGGCAAATTGGGCCATCGTGTAAAATGGGCCATTTAAGATAAAATGAGCCAATAATTTCAGTTAAAATGGGCCACCTTCTGAGTTGAGTTTAAGCAGAAATTCTGGTGGTTTCTCTTATTAAAAATTATTTATATTATTAATATATTGTATTACTGCATTTGTGTATCACATATATATATATATATATATATATATATATATATATTCAATAATAATAATAATTGAATTAATTTCTATTTAATATAAAAAGGCTTGATTCAGAACTGCATCATTATTTGTTTTTTCAAAAATGTAAACTCGCATACTTGTGGTCAGGGGCTGATTGCATAAAAGGTTTAGAATGGTCTTAAACATTAGTGATCTAATTTTGGTATTTATATCGTATTTTACCTCTGATTCACGCAATGTCCAAACTGTTCGAACTCTCCTGAGCGGTGGCGCCTCCTCCTGAGCGCGTTCTCAACAGCAGGCGAGTGAGGCGTCTTCTTCTTCTTCTTGCTATACGGCAGATCGCAGACTTATAAGTGCATTACCGCCACCTATCTCTCAAGTGGACCATTGACACTCCTAATTGAGATTGTAGATAGAGTGTCAGAGTTCGAACAGTTCGGACATTGCGTGAATCAGAGGTAAAAACCTATATAAATACTGTTCAGTTTCTTGCACAGACCGATCGTTTTGTTTAAAATGTAGATTAGTCTAAGCTGAATCCAAAATATAAGACTGATTACCCCTTGGTTAACTTCTAGTTGGTTAAACTAGTTCTTAAAGGGTTAGTGTCTCGCATGGCTCCGGGGGGTGAACAAAGGCCTTCTGTAGCGAATCGATGCGTTTTTGTAAGAAAAATAACCATATTTAAAACGTAATAATCACTTGAATCTAGCTTGCGCTCACTGTTGTAAACGGAAGCAGTTCCGGGCTTGGCTTTGCGCATGCGCCGCTCAGAAGTGACGCAAGTGGAAACGCAGCGGAGAGATAAAAAAAAAGGAGACTGGTTTTCCTTTGCTAAAGTAAGGAAACTTTGCTT